AAGCAGCGAACGGAGGCGATCACCTTCACCGACAAGGATTTGCCTCCGGGTACGGAATCACATAGGGACGCCCTCGTCATCCGGTGTGAGATCGGTGACTCCATCATCCACCGCACTTACATCGATACGGGGAGCTCCGTCAACGTGATGTACCTGGATACCTTCAGGCAGCTGAAGCTGGACAGAGCACTGCTGAAGCCGATCAAGACACCGTTGTCCGGCTTCACCTGGGACTCTATCGACGCCGAGGGCACGATAGTCCTCCCCGTGGAGGTCGGCGACGGCCCCCACCGCGCCAAAATTGACATGGAATTCATGGTGGTCAACCTCCAGTGCGCCCACAACATGATCTTAGGGCGGCCAGCACTGGAGGACTTGGAGGCCATCATTTCCATGAAGCACTTATGTCTGAAGTTCCCCACCAATGGCGGCATCGGCTGCGCCAGAGGAAACCAGAGGATAGCCAGAGCATGCTACCTCAAGCTAACGAGGCCGGCCGAAAGGGAAGGGCAGAGGATAGACACCATCACGGCGTCCGTCGCCAAGGACGAGGAGAGGCCGCATGCCGAACCAGCCGAGGAGGTCGAGGAAGTCCCTCTAGATACCTCTCGGCCGGAGCGGGTCCTCAGAATCGGGAAGCAGCTCCCACAGGACCAGCGGGACGCCATTCTCATCGTCCTACGGTCATACGCCGTTGTCTTTGCGTGGGGCCCGGACGACATGCCAGGCATCAACCGCCAGGTGATTACTCACCGGTTGACCGTCGATCCAGCCTCCGCGCCCGTCAAGCAGAAGCGGCGCTACTTATCCGCCGACAGGCGGGACTTCGTCAAAGGGGAGGTCGCCATGCTCCTCTCGATCAGCCACATAAAAGAGGTGAAGTACCCGACGTGGCTAGCCAACGTCGTCCTCGCCCAAAAACCGCCGACATTCAGAATGTGTGTTGATTACACTGACCTGAACAAGGCATGCCCCATGGACCCGTTGCCTCTCCCCAACATTGATCAGCTGGTGGACGAGACGGCGGGGTGCGAGTTGATGTCGTTCCTTGATGCTTTCAGAGGGTACCACCAAATTTCCATGCATGAAGATGACGCTGAGAAGACGACATTCATGACCCCGGAGGGAATCTTTTGCTACCTCGTCATGGCCTTCGGACTCAAAAACTCCGGCGCCACCTATACTAGAATGGTGGCCAAGATCTTCAGAGCAGTCCTCGGCCGGACGATGGAGGCATACGTCGACGACATGATCGTCAAGAGCAGGCAGGCCTCCACCCATGCCGACGACCTCCGGGAAATCTTTGAAATCATGAAGGAGTTCAGGCTCCGCCTCAACCCCAAGAAGTGCGCCTTCGGCGTCCAAGGCGGCAAGTTCCTCGGCTACATGGTCAGCCGGAGAGGCATCGAGATAAACCCGGAGAAGACACAGGCTATCATCAACATGGAGCCGCCTCGCAACGTCAAGGAAGTACAACGACTGACGGGGCGCCTGGCGGCCCTGAACCGTTTCCTCTCCAGGTCAGCCGAAAAGGCACTCCCCTTCTTCCAGATCATGCGTAAAGCCAACAGCTTCAAGTGGACGACGGAGTGCCAGGAAGCGTTCGAAGAGCTGAAGAGGTACCTATCGTCCCCGCCCGTGCTCTCCAAGCCCAAAGCCGGCGAAACCCTCTTCTTGTACTTATGTAACACCCCGGCCTCGCAGGACCCGAGGTAGATACCCTAGACCAATAGTACTGTCCTCACAAACCACCACGAGCCTTTACCGCGCACTTTATCCTCACTCATGCGCGCCCTGAGAAACTTCCCAGGGGGTCACCCATCCCAAGACTACTCTCGTGCAAGCACGCTTAACTTTGGAGTTCTTGGGTGATGAGCTCCTTTAAAAGGAGATGCACCTCTGTTGGTATGAGTAGTACTATTAATCCGTTTAAATTAAATCTCAAGTATTACAATCACCTCCACTTAGGAACGCAACGTCCTCGTTGCGCCCAAACACCAATCTCAATCATATCCCAGAATGTTTTCCCCTACTAAGTGCTCGCCCGATATCCAACGGATCAGCACACCGTCGCAGGGTTGCTCTGATACCATTTGTAACACCCCGGCCTCGCAGGACCCGAGGTAGCTACTCTAGACCAATAGTACTGTCCTCACAAACCACCACGAGCCTTTACCGCGCACTTTGTCCTCACTCATGCGCGCCTTGAGAAACTTCCCAGGGGGTCACCCATCCCAAGACTACTCTCGTGCAAGCACGCTTAACTTTGGAGTTCTTGGGTGATGAGCTCCTTTAAAAGGAGATGCACCTCTGTTGGTATGAGTAGTACTATTAATCCGTTTAAATTAAATCTCAAGTATTACAACTTAGGGGTGAGCACGTCGGCCATCAGCTCCGTGCTCATCCGTGAGGACGAAGGGGTGCATAAGGCCATCTTCTGCATCAGCAAGACACTCAGGGAGGCCGAGCTCAGGTACTCCCCCATTGAGAAGACGGTGCTGGCCATCGTCCATACGGTGAAGAAGCTGGGGCACTACTTCCAGGCCCATGCCGTCCATGTGCTGACCTAGCAGCCCCTTGGCGCGCTCATGAGGAGCCCCACTAGCTCCTCAAGGATGGTGAAATGGGCAATCTTCCTCAGTCAGTTTCAGATTGAAATCAAGCCAAGGCCATCCATCAAAGGGCAAGCTTTGACCGACTTCGTCACCGAATGCACGGCAAGGGAGACAGCCGCTACCGCCCCCGGGCCAGAGACCGATGACACATGGATCCTCTTCACCGACGGCTCGTCGGCCGCGAAATCATGCGGCGGCGGCGTCGTCCTCATATCCCTTGAAGGATTCAGAGCTTACTATGCCATCCGCTTCAACTTCAGGGTATCCAACAATGAAGCCGAGTATGAGGCCCTCCTCAGCGGCCTCAGACTCGCCGCCGGCCTCAGAGCTCGGCACATCAAAATCAGGTGCGACTCCAAGCTGGTAGTGGGCCAGGTTGAGGGTACGTACGAAGCAAAGGAAGGCCGAATGAAGCAGTACAAACAAGCAGCAGAGGAGCTGCTGAGGGCGTTCGAAACCCACGAGATCACACAGATCCCAAGGGCCGAGAACGCCGAGGCCGACATCCTCTCCAAACTCAGCTTGGACACCCCGGAGCACATCTCCCAGCTAGCCAAGATCGAGGAGTTGAGCATGTCCAGCATCCATGCCAGCCCCGTCTTGTGCGTCCAACAACGACCGGAGGACTGGATCTCCGACATCATCACCTTCATCACGACGGGGGAGTTGCCCCCGGACGAGGAGAGGGCCAAACTCGCCAAACTCAGGGCCCCAAGCTACACCATTGAAGGTGGCACTCTCCTCCGATGCCTGCACCAGGATGAGGCCGACGTGGCCATGGAAGAAGTTCATTGTGGTGTTTGCTCCTCGCACCAGGGCCCTTTCAGCATGTCCCGACGTCTCGTCGTCCAGGGCTTCTTCTAGCCGACGATGGCGCGAGACTGTGCGGACCTAGCCAAGAAGTGTACCACGTGCCAGGTACTCCAGAAGGCCCCTGGTCGGCCAGCCGTCAACTACGCCCCCGTCAGCACTGCTATTCCGTTCTCAAGGTGGGGGATTGACCTGGTCGGCCCTCTGTCCAGAGCTGCCGGCAACAACCGCTACATCATCGTCGCAGTCGACTACTTCACTAAGTGGGTCGAAGCGGAACCCTTGGCCAGCATCACGGGGGCCAGATGTCAGAAGTTCGTTCACAAGAACATTCTCACCCGCTTTGGTGTCCCCCAAGAGATCATATCTGACAACGACACCCAGTTTGAAGCTGCGCCCTTCCAAGAGCTCCTTCGAGAATGGGGGATAAAACACTGTTTCTCCTCCGTTTCCTACCCTCTAGGCAACGGGCAGGTTGAGAACGCCAATAGAACCATTATGGAAGGGCTGAAGAAGAACCTACAGGACGCAGGAGGGAGTTGGGTCGACGAGCGCCCCAACATCCTGTGGTGCTATCGTACCACGCCAAGGAGGGCGACGAGCGAAACACCTTTTGCCCTGTGCTATGGCTTTGAACCTAAGGCACCCACAGAGGTCACCATTCCCAGCCGACGAGTGGAGCAGTATGACACAGAGGTTAATGAGGAAAACATGAAGATCGACCTCCACCTGGTCGAAGAAAGACACGAGCAAGCATTCATCCGAGCAGAGAACTACCAGCGTCAAGTAAAATCATACTATGACACCAAGGTACGTTCTCGGGAATTCCAAGTGGGGGACTACGTCCTCTGCCGAAGGGAAGCAAGCCAGCCGACAGAAGGAGGCAAGTTAGCCCTGAAATACGAAGGTCCCTACATCGTCACTGCCGTGGTGAAACCCGATACCTACAAGCTTAGACGCCCAAACGGGACCAATGTACCACGAACGTGGAATGTACACCATTTGGTGAAGTTTTATCAATAATCCGAAGGAGGTGCAGCCGGCGAAGCCCTCACCCTTTGACGGGTTATTGATTGAACGCCACCCTCGGCCTTGAGCCACTTTTGAATAAAAATCATATTTCTTTTGATTTATTGAAATTCGACTTGAACGTGAACAAAGTGCCCTCATCGGCCACCTTAGAGCGAAAGGCTCAGGTGTGACCGATGTGGCGCTTCGCATCTACAAACTTAGAGCGAAAAAGCTCGGGTATGCCCATTTTTATTGATGGAAAGTTGCTGTCTAGGTGATAATTTTTCATGTAGCTCATTAATATGGTGTGGGACCTGCTCAGATGGATTGGGGTCTCCTTCTGTATGCAGTTTGTTCACATGCATAGATGGGTTATATGCATGAATTGGATAAGGACGAAAGGAGTTAAGTGGTGGGTCAGCCAAGACACTTTCTCGAGACTCATTAGTAGTTTGTTGATAAATCATATCAACTAGTGTTTCAAAATCAACTTCTGGACGGGTTGAAATTTTGAACGGAAATTTCGCTTCAAAAAATGTTACATCTCTAGAGTTGTAGGTGGTATGTTTCTGAAGATAAAAACCCCGATATGCCTTTTGTCCATGGGGATACCCAATAAATATGCAAGGACTCCCCCTTTCACCAAACTTGTCCTTCTTTTTATTGTTATGGGTGTATACCAGAAAATCGAAAAACCGCAAGTGGTCATAAATTGGTATTTTCCCAAATAACAATTCATAGGGAGTTTTATTTGAAATAATGGGGGATGGTAGTCTATTAATGATATAGACTGCCGTCAAAATACATTCTCCCCAAAAATTAATGGGTAATCCAGCCTGAAAGCGAAGTGCCCTCGCCACTTCTAATATGTGCCGGTGTTTGCGCTCAACAACACCATTTTGTTGTGGTGTCTCGGTGCATGATGTCTCCAACAAAATTCCGTTCTGATTATAGTAATCAGATAAAAAGCTGGTTTGAAACTCGGCACCATTATCTGCCCGTATGCGTTTAACTTGTTGCTCGAATTGGGTTTTTACCAAATTAAAAAATTGAATCAAAAGTTGGGGAACTTCTGATTTATTTTTCATTAAGTACACCCAAACACCCCGAGTAAAATCGTCAACTATGGTCATAAAATATCGTGCACCGGAAATTGAATCACATGAATAGCCACCCCAAATATCACAATGTATTAATTCAAAAGAATGAGTTGTTTTAATGGTACTGACAGGAAAAGGTAGACGGGTCTGTTTTGCTCGTATGCATGAGTCACAGAAATTATTGCTCCGCTTGAAACCTTGGAGAGAACTGATGAAATTTAATTTTCCATCTGAAGCATGTCCTAAACGTTGATGCCATAAATTATGATGAAGAGAAACTGACATTGCCACCCACTCATCTCCTGGAATTTCAAGGTAGTATAAACCATCACGGAGTCAGCCCACCCTAATCAGCTTCCTCGAGGGTAAATCCTGCAATATGCACAAATCATTAAAAAATGTGAGTGTACAATTTGTATCCCTTGAAAGGCGGCTAACCGAAAGTAAGTTGCACCAAACTCCGGAATGTATAAAACTTGTGGAAGGCGAAACCCATTAAATAAGTACAAGCTGTCAATAGCTTGAACTGACACTGAATCACCGTTAGGAATTTTGACGGAGGGGATATGAATATGAGTCCGCATGTCAATGAGACCATCATTATTACAAATAATGTGTTCACTTGCTCCAGAGTCTATTATCCAGGTGCGGCCTTTTGATAGTGTACCTGCCATGTTTATTTTGACGTTAGAGGAGGAGGATGTGCTTGTTTCGTCCTGTAGCTCATCTCTTACAAGTCTGACAAATTTTTGGAGCTGTTCATCAGAGATTCCAAGTTGATTGTTTTGCTTACTGTCCACATGTGCTGCTTGAGGAGAAGAGTGCTTGCGGTTGAATGTAACCACCTCACGTTTTCCTCCTTCACGTGAGATACGTGAGTCATCAAGTCTAGCTTGGGTGAAAGTTCCTGGCAGCCCACTTTCTTTGCAAAGCAAGTATCGTAAGTATGATTGGTCCTTCCGCAATAGGAGCAAGACCGACCTTCTTTTGTAGCGGGCCGGCGTCCTAGAGATGATTCCCTTTTAGTTTGTGTGTAGAAAGCCGTTCCATCACCGCCGGGTTTGCGCGCGGATGAGATAGACCTATGGTGTTCACTTTCTGAAATAAGATGATATGCGGCAGTGAGGGTAGGGACCGACCTTGTGGCCAAAATTTGGGTCTTCAGTTGTGCATAGCCATCATCTAAACCCATCAAGAAATCATAAAGACGATCTCTATCACGAGAATCAATTATCTCTTTAGAGATATTGCAAGAACATTTGCCACACTTGCAATCAGGTGTCGTGTCTGTAGAGGCCATTTCATCCCACACACGACGTAGCCTGCTAAAATAAGCAGAAATAGATTGTCCATCTTGCCGAATGTTGCTAAGAGAGCATCGAAGCTCATAGGCTCGAGGAGCACTTTCCTTAGCAAATCCTTCTTCTAGATCGGTCCAAATTTCTCGAGCCGTTTTGAATTTCACACTTTGCGTGAGATCCATTTCCATGCTACTATTTAGCCAACCTTTAACCATGGCATTTGCTCGTTGCCAATATGGCAGGTTTGGCGAGCCAGATGGGGGCATCAAGATGTCACCATTTACAAAGCCGAATTTATTTTTTGCATATAGCGCATTGCTCATTTCATCGAGCCAGTCTCCATAGTTTCCATCTCGAAGAATTGTGGTATCATGGACGTCTCCGGGCTTATCCCTAGATTGAATAAAATAAGGTGACATAGAATCATTGACTATGTCATTAGTTTCAAGATTGATGGCCTTGGTATCATCATCACCCGCCATAACTTAGAGAGGAAATGAAGAAGAAGGTAAGCTAAATAGATTTTGTGGGAAGAAATATTATGGAGTTTTTTTTTGTTTTCAGGATTTCGTCTCTGATACCATGATAAAAATATGATTGAGATAAAATAAATAACTAGCTGGAATGAACTATTTAGAGAAGATTGCTTCACAATATAGAAGCCTCGTCTTATATTTAACTGGTCATACGAATATCACTATATATTACATGAGAAGTCTATCTTGCTAAGGGAGAGGGAATAATTGCAAAGCAAGTGCATGTGCATGTGCATGCACTCCTACGTATTAAATGAAGCACTAACATTTACATGTGCCATGTATGAGCATTGCATGTGGATGCATTGTGATAAGACACTTGCACGTGTCTGGAAGGAAGCAAAATAATAAAAAAAGTATTATGAATCTTAATACCCAACAGTACCAGCTCACCATCTTTTCATGCTAGCGCCACAACGACCCACTAGACAGTGGCACAACAAATCCCAGTCAAAATAGCCCATCCCAACGACTAAACTCTGGCGAAGCTTCGGTAGGTGGTTAGCAACAAAATTCCATTCCTTCAATACCCAAAGCACTGCTTCCTCGTGGTCAACCGAAGAAACCTCGGTAACGACTCCAGTATAGATCCAACATCCATTCTCCACATATCTCCCAGCAACGATATGTAGAACCCCTCTATAACCAATCCAAATCCGACCCTAAGCCACGAATGGTAGGGAGCTGTGAGAGACAATGACTTTCACATATGGATGAGTGCGAGTAGCGGAATGAGGTAACGGCGACCGCAACCCAGAGCTCTAAATAAAAGATGGCCCTTGGTTCAGCCAGCTCAAGTCCACTCTGGATACTGGAGGTTGCACAAGCAAAAAGCCCCCCGAATCTACTCACCCATGGGGAGTGAACTCTAACCTAGGCTTTCCCCACGGCTAGCCAAAGAGGGGAACCATAATAGGACCTTCGCCAACAAGATCCCATCACCCTCTTTGGCGGAAGCGAAGCGCCATCGACGGATGGGAGCCGGAGATCCATCCGTCTAGGTCACCGGAGAAACCCTGGCCAGACCAAACCAAGCAAGAAGGAAGGATATGAGATATATAGAATATAGGCGCCCGAAACTAACCATTATCACTCTTTTTTCTTCAACGAAACAGCGTCGGAGACAAGGACAACATCAATTGGCAACCCAACGTCGTTCAAATCTTTTGCCATCAGACCTCACTTTCCCTCGTCGGAGCTTCCATGTATGACTCATTTAGGCTTCTCAGCGCAGGGATTAACTCCCTTTATGATCACCAAACCGCCATCTTCCCCTTTCCTCACTGGTGTACATGGCCTACCCTCTCCAGAGGCCTACATATATAGTGACTGCCGGGCCGGACTATCACATGTGGCAGGTGCTTCCAGGAGCAAACCCCTTTCTCAAAGAAGTACAAGACACTGTCGGAATGGTATGAGGCAATATCCAACAAGATCGTCTGCCATTGGAGAACATAACTCTTCTCTGGCGCACAAGACAACAAACACTAAAAATACTTGTTGGTAATGCAAGGCCTTTCCTTTTATTTGTGTTCTTCTCAGCCGATGCCGTCATCTGACCTGCTCTATTTTGACTCACTCGGATCGTGGCTGGGCCCACTAAATTTTGGGGCCTCATGGACTTGATTTATTCTTTGTAGAATCTCTCAAGGCCATTTTTTTGTAAAATTAATTTGACTTGCCTGAAACTGCCTTGCTTGTTTGACCTTATCAAACTATGGTTATCCGGAACTGCTCGACTCATTTTTCTCCTAATATCAAGCAAGCAGTTCAGCACTTTCAGGTGCAGGTTTTACTATTTAAAGGAGACTCTCTTCTCTCCCAGGAGATGAAAAAAAAAACTATCACATTCTTTCAGTGCTTTCTCTTCTTCCAGTTCTGAGCAATACAAAGAGTTCCATCTCTTCTCTCTTGAGTGCACGAGAAAGAGGAGCACCGTGTAAACCTTGGGGGGCGACGTCCAAAATTCCTAATTGCACCAAGTTAGGGGCGAAATTGCTTCTAAGTCAGTGGGTTTCCTTGACACGGTTCTTGTTCTTCATTCTGTTTTCCAAACTATCATTGGCTCTAAATTTGAGTTTCCTCATTGTCACATTTTTCTATTGTTCATCCAACATTTTAGAAGCGAGTTATTGATTATTGTGACATGGCTTCCTCTAATCAGTTGAAACTGCTTCCTGATATTTGCAACCTTCAACCTCTAGATGGTTCCAATTACAAGCGATGGGCTAACCGAATTCTGATTTATTTTGAACAACTCGAAATAGATTATGTTTTATTTAATGACCCGCCGAAGTCAGATACAGTCGATGAGAATCCTGTTACTCCTGGATCGGGGGTCTCGTTTCAAGGATAAGGGCAAAGAACATGAGGGTACGAAAAGGACAACAAACTGGCCAAGAACATGGTGCTGAGCCGAATGGTTGACTCTGTATTTGATCTGTACTATACTCATAAATCAGCCAAGGCTATTGGGACGCACTGGAAAAAAAAATCGGGGCAGATGATGCTGGAACGAAGAAATACGTGGTAGGAAAATGGCTGAAGTTCAAGGTGGACGAGAAGAAACCAATCATGGAGCAAGTCCATCAATATGAGAATCTGGTTGCTGAAATCCTCGCTGAAGGGATGCAGATGCACGAGATTCTACAGGCAAACGTACTAATTGAGAAGCTACCAGAAAAATGGTCTGACTACCGCAACCATCTCAAACACAAGAAGCGTGACCTGACCCTACATGAACTGATTTCTCACATGAAAATCGAAGAGGCTAATCGCCTAAAAGATAAGAACACTTATTCTGGTAATGAACTTTCTCTTAAAGCTAATGTTGTGGAATCTTCTGTTAGTTCCAAAGTTGACAGGTCTAAAGCTGCCGAGAAACCAATGAAGGGAAAACAACCACACAACAATAGCAAAGGGAAGTTCAAAAATCATGGAAAAATCCAGAAAAAGAAGAATTCAGGGTCAATCATATGCTATGCATGTGGCAAGCATAGACACAAGTCCTACTAGTGCGAGCTGCGAGCTGACAAGAAACAAAAGGACCAAACAAACATTGTTGAGGCTCAAGTTGCAACCCAGAAGATATTTGCTGATATGGCAACCATGTGCAATGTGGTGGAAGATCCAAAAAGGTGGATTGTGGACTGTGGAGCAACTAAGCATTTCTGCTCAAACTATGAGCTTTTTGCCGAGTTTGAATCTGCCTCCGGTAAAGAAAAGGTGTACATGGGCAACAAGTCAGAGTCTGAAATTCTTGGTAAAGGAACGGTAAACCTGAAACTATCTTCTCGAAATATTCTTAAACTACAAAATGTTCTGTATGTCCCTTCCATGAGTAAAAATCTGATTTCTAGCTTAGCTTTAGATAGAGCTGGGATTGAAACTCGGATTAAGAATCAGAAAGTTATTTTGATTCGTAATGATGAGTTTGTGGGGAAGGGATATGTTCAGGGAGATTTGTACACCTTAGAGGCTGAAGCCATTGTTGTTTCTGGTGCTAATAAAGTTTATACTTCTGTTTATATTGTTGAGTCATATGATATATGACATGCTAGATCAGGACACGTGAATTATACTTCTTTGAAACGATTGCGAAAAATGAATCTGTTGCCTAATCTTACTTCGGATAGAAGCAAAAGGTGTGAAACCTGTGTTGAGGCTAAATTTGCTAAGAAACCTTTTAATTCTGTGACTGAGAGGAAAACAGAATTGCTTGAACTCTTTCATACAGATTTAGCTGATTTTAGAAACACAAAAAGTAGGGGTGGAAAACACTACTACATCACCTTTATTGACGACTACTCAAGATTTTGCAAAGTATACCTTTTAAGAACAAAAGATGAAGCAGAAGATATGTTCTTAAAATATAAAGCAGAAGTGGAAAACCAATTAGACAGAAAAATCAAGAGACTTAGGTCTGACCAGGGTGGTGAATATAGTACTACTTTTCTCAAAGTAACATGTGAAAAGGAGGGAATAATTCATGAACTATCTGCACATAGAACACAAGAACAAAATGGTATAGCTGAAAGGAAAAACAGAACCCTCAAGGACATGGTTAGTGCAATGCTTGTTAGTTCTGGGCTATCCCTGGATTTGTGGGGGAAGCGGTACTTAGTGCGTGTTATATTTTGAACAAAGTGCCTCATAAAAAATTAGAAAAAAACCCATATGAATTGTGGAAAGGATATGTCCCAAATTTGCATTACATGAAAGTTTGGGGGTGTTTGGCTAAAGTAGCTTTAGCTTGTTTTCTACGTGTAAGTGTTGGACCTAAAACTAAGGATTCTGTCTTTATTGGTTATGTTGAGAACAATGCTGCATATAGATTCATGCGTTTGAAAGATCGTTCTATAACTGAATCTAGAAATGCTGAGTTTTTTGAAAATATATTTCCTTTTAAGAAACATGTTGTTTCTCAAGAAAATACTCCTGGTTTTGCATCTTCTTCTATGTCTTTACCTGATTCTACTATTGCACATGATGATGTGAATGGTGAACCTAGAAGGAGTAAACGACGCAGAACTCAAACTAATTTTGGTCCAGATTTTGTTACTGCTTTTCTTGTAGAACTCAAAGAAAACAAGAACTTTAATAAATTAGATGAGCTAGTGATTTGTCTTTACATTCTCGAGGATGAGCCTAAAACATATGAAGAGGCAATAAAATCTGTAGATGCCAGTTTTTGGAAAGATTCCATTAGGATTGAGATTGACTCAATTATGTCTAACCACACATGGGAATTAGTTGACCTACCCAAAGGAGCTAAACCAATTGACTAGTAATTAAGGTTTAAAATGAAATTCAGAACTGATGGCACTATCGAAAGGTTTAAGGCCAGATTAGTAATCAAGGGTTATACCCAAAAGAATGGAATTGATTTCTGATGAACCTAGATCTTAGCATACAACAATCATAACAGGTATAAAGAAGAAGATAGAAAGATATCGAGAAGTTTAACCGAATCTCGTATACCGTGTGAAACCCCGCTGCTCTCCCTGGAGAAGGAGAGCAGCGGAAACCCTTCTCTCTATCTCGCCTCTGCGTCTCTTAAGCCTCTCTCAATTATTAGGGTTCCCGTAAGTTAGCCTCCTTTTATAGGAGAAATTAGCTAACTTACGGGTTACAAGGAAGCCCACGGGTTGATACACATTTGTGGCCCATATTACACGTTTAATTAATAAACACACAAATACAAAGATATTTAATTAGATTGGACACCATAAAATATTCCTAACAATCTCCCCCTTGGTGTTCAATCATGTTCAATCAGCATTGCAACGCGAATATCTTTGTCTTTGTTGTTATTCAGCT